CTGTGGGCATGGGGTGGAATCTGAGGAGTGAGCCTTCTTCCCCAGGCTGGGAGTGGGTGAGACGAGACTGGCGCCTCTACATCTGAGTGCCCCCCAAACCCAGCAGTCATGTTGTGTGCAAACAAAGAAATCACGTTACTTCTTCCAGCTGATGTTCCACTTGTTTCTTCTGTTGTTTCTGTGGGGAGAGTCAAATTCAGGTGACTGAGGGGGGCTCCCTCAACTCTATTGCCCAAGCCAGGAAGTTGTAGGCAGGGACCAGGAGTGGATTTTAAAGGCAAAGTTCTCAGACCCAGTGGCAACATGAACTGGTCAACTCTCCTCAAGCTCCCAAAGACAGAGGATTTGGGTCTTTGTTGGTTTTTGCCCACAGCCACAGAACTCAAAGTCTGAATCTGGATTCTCTCAAAAGGACAGTAACATAAACCTCTAGAGACGGAGTCTGAGAAAGGCCCACCCTTCCGCCAGCTTGTAATTTAGAAAGATGTGTTCATTTGACAAACATTTACTGAGCTCATACAGGCCAGGTACGGGTCTTCACAGCAGAAATACAGGATAGAAAAGGACAGATGGGAGCCCTTGGCCCTGAGATTTCCATTCTAGGGACATTTCAATCTCGGACTGTCGGAGCTTAAAGAGATCTTTGATACTCTACCTCCTCTGGAAACACGAGCCCAAGGAGGAGAGGTGGCTTCTCCAGACTCAAAGAGCAACTTAGGGACTGAGTCAGAGCAGAAATACGGGGCCCCTGACAACCCTCACTTTCCTGAGAGGCGACAACCCCAGGGCGTGTGTGGCAAGGACTGGAGCAGGGATGTCTGAAGCAGAGAGTCAGTAAAGAGGACAGTGACAGAAGAGCCATGCTGCATGCTCCTTGCTCTGGGGTCCCCCCAGGTGAGGCCTGGGTGCTTCAGCTCCCCATCTGCCCTTTGCACCAGGGGCCCTCAGCCCCTTTCTTCAGAGCCCCAGGGGGAAACTAAAACCCAGAATTGGCAGCGTGGAATCAGGGACCCCACTGGACTCTTACCAGTGATTCTATGTTTTCATTTAGTTGATTGATTGTTGCGGAGCTTGAGTCCAGGGCTACTTCCAATTCTTTGTACCGGCTCTGAGGAGCACACAGAGAGGAGGAGTTGAAGGATGATTGCGGGGAGAAGTAGAGAGAACAATCATTAGGGCTGGGGTGTGTGTGGGCTATCTCAGCTGGCATAGGGGCATGCAGCCCCTGCCGTGAGAGGAGCTTGGAGGGTTGGCCTGCAGGGTCACTGCACCTCAGCCCAGGGCCTCTTACCTCCAGACCCTTCAGGGTAGCAGATGATGCAGAGGTAATAGAAATTCAAAAAGAAAAAAAAAAGAGAAAAAAGAAAAAAAACTTACATGGGATACAGTTATGGATATCGAGAAAGTAAAAAAATAAAACAGCAAGGGGCTGGGCACAGTGACTCATGCATATAATCCCAGCACATTGGGAGGCGGAGGCGGTTGGATTCCTTGAGGTCAGGAGTTCGAGACCAGCCTGGCCTACATGGTGAAACTCCATCTCTACTAAAAATAAGAAGATTAGCTTCTCATGGTGGCAGATGCCTGTAATCTCCTGCTACTAAGGCAAGAGAATCACTTGAACCACGGAGGCAGAGGTTGTAGTGAGCCAAGATTGTGCCACT